TGGATGGCCGATTGCTAAGGGCTGTGCAGTCTCTTTACTGTGACTGTAAAGCCTGTGTGCGGGTAGGGCATGACCTGTCACCCATGTTTAGCGTCCAAACGGGCGTAAAATAGGGTTGTGTCATGTCTTCCTGGCTGTTCATACTGTATCTCGACAGCTGTTTACAAAAGCTGAAAGATAGCTGTTTGGGTGTGAAATTGGGTGACATAAAAGTAAATTGTCTGCTGTATGCTGATGATGCAGTGCTTATTGCACCATCAGAGGCAGAACTGCAGGCATTAGTCACGTGTATGAAAGAGGAATGTGAAATTAAAGGTCTCCGTTTGAATGCTAATAAAACTAAGGTTCTGGTATTTGAAAGGGACGAAGAGAGAACGAAGTGTGAAATATGGGTAAATCAGGAATGTCTAGAACAGGTAAATGAAATTGTATACTTGGGGAGTGCTTTTAGCCGGGATGGAAGATGTGATTTAGATGTGGACAGGCGTGTCGCTGCCGGGAACAAAGTCAATGGTGCCCTGACTGCGTTAGTCAAAAGGCAAGGCGTAGCGAAGAGTGCATGCCTTGCAATACATAACGCAGTGTTGGTACCGACTTTGTTATATGGCAGCGAAACCTGGCATAAAAGTAAGTTGAATGCAGTGGAGATGCGATCTCTTCGTAAAATGTGCGGCGTTACTATGGCCGACCGAAAGCGAAACGAAGAGATTCGCAATATGGCAGGTTTGAAAGATGACCTTATCACAAAAATTGATAAGGGCGTGCTTCGGTGGTTTGGGCACGTTGAGCAAATGAGTGAAGACCGAATGGTGAAGAAAATATATAGCGCGAAAGTTAATATTAAAAGGTGTCGGGGTAGACCGAGACTAACTTTCGAAGACCATGTGAGCAAATTGCTCGAAGAGGGTAGGGTCAAGAGTACTCGGATACCTAGACGTGCATGTATGAAGAAAATAATGAATCTGAAAGAAGCGAAAGAGATATGTAAGGATCGTGACACTTGGCGATCTGTTCTCTCTGGCTACCCCGTCAGGGATTGTGCGTGAAGATAAGTAAGTAAGTAAGTAAGTTAAAGTAGGGCGTTCCCAAAGTTGCGGGCTCCATGGAGGGTGGGAAGCCGGGGGGACGAATTTTAAACACAAAATCAATGGGCAATTTAAGGCCCAGTAAGAATGAGGGAGAGGTGTCAGAGGTGCTTACCAGAGACACTAAAGAACAAAGGGGAACCGCCATTAAACCGACGGTTCCACCGACAGTACCGTCCAGCGTAGGTGACCCCATCAAGGGGACAACTTCCGCGCTGAACGTTTCCAAAACCAGTTTCAAACCTGAGGAGCTGGAAGAGAAAAAGGAACAAGAGCCCGCGAGTAACAAAACTCCCGCGGAGCCTCATAGAACGGACGACCTTTTCTCTGCTGCCTGGCAAGTGTTGAGCCGTAAGGGGAAAGGCAAGGCACCCAAAAAGGTGACTTGCCGACCTGACGGACCTTCAGGAGGGTCTATCCCTGCAGGCAGTATAGGAAAGGCCAAACAGAAGAATAAGAAGCAGCGAGAAAAAGGCTGAAGAGACCGAGCCGCGCTGGCTGCTTCTAAAACTAAAACCAGGGAGGCTGGGCAAGCTACTGCGACTGGGAAGCTTGGAGCTGGAACCAGTAGCCGCGCTGAAGCTGGGAAGGATAAAAATCCAGCCCAAGTGGAAGTTGTGGCTGCGGGAACCAGCTCTAAGATATCCGCCAGGAAACAGCGAGCGGCCAAGCGTCCTGGGAAGAAAGAAAGAGCAGCCAAAAGGATGCTGGAAGAGTCCACCTCGCCGAGAGGAGAACACAGAAAAGTGCGACTCGAACAGCAATCAAAGGCTGCAAGAACAAGCTACGCTTCCGCTGCTAAAGCAGATTTGGGTGTGGCCTTAACGTGTGCGCGTTTAGGTCACATTACGAAGGAAGTAGCAGACGACATCCTCGTGACAATACAGAGGAAAATGATCAGTGAGGCCTGGAGTAGCCAGGACCCTGATGCGTCGGGCCCAGTTTTTAGGGGCAAACCCGTTTACACGGAGGGTGTCCTGAAACTGTGGTGCGACGATCAGAAAGCTCTGGATTGGTTGAAGGGGAATATTGCTACCCTCGACCTTAAATCCAACAACTCGCTGACTTTAAAGAAACAGTCGGAGATACCACAAAGAGTCAAATGTGGTATCCTTATCCCTGATGCCCAGGGAGCCTGGAAAGACTCACGCGACATTGGTCGTGTGCTGGCGTACCAGAACCGTTGGGTTAACATCAGGGACTGGCTGTTACTCAAGGCAGATAAACAGACGGACGGGTGGTTCCTCGTTGTTTCGGTGCCGGAGGATCATATCCCGACCCTGATGAAGGCCGGACGCCGTCTCGCATGTGTATGTGGGGCGGTTTACGTGAAATTCCAGGGTCGTGTAGGTAAATTCTTTGATACTCCACCAAGCAAAGAGGCAGAAAATAACCCGGAAGTTATGGATACCGGAGACATGGTTACCGGTACAGCGGAATCACTGGAGGCCAAGTCCAGTGAAAAAACGGCCTGCACAATTGAGCCGAAGCCCCCAGTGGAGATCGGGCTCAGCGGCGGCTCACGGAGTGACGAGGAGGACTGCATTTTGGCGACCACCTTCGACTCGGTGGCTGACGATGAGACCCGAGATCTGCTGGTAGGCTTATTTTTGGGCGGGGACGGAGAGGACGCGATCAATGATGGCGTGCCCTTCGCCCAAAACTAGCCTAGTGCAGGCCAACCTCCATCACAGTGAAACAGCGTCGGCTCAATTACGTAAGTGGTTGGAGGTTCAAAGGACGGGCATAGCCTTAATCCAGGAGCCGTGTGTTGGGGCTGGTAAAATTAAAGGCCTAAACAACCTAAAAGGTAAGCTATTTTACAGCTTTGAACACGACAAGCCTAGAGCGTGTATTTACACTACTAAAGATATCTGTGCACAACCATTAACAGATTTCTGTTCTAGAGACATGTATGCCGTGGCAATACAACATACACAGGAGAGTAGATTAGTCATCGCATCGGCCTACATGCCGGAGGAAGACACTCCTCCCCCTCATGACCTCGTGAGGCTGGTGAACTTCTGCGAGAGGACCAGACTAGAGGTTATGATCGGGACGGACTCCAACGTGCATCATTCCCTCTGGGGAATGGAAAGACCGAATGAACGAGGTAAGGTGTTAGTTGAATATTTATTTAGCACTAACCTAACAATTTTAAACACAGGTTCTGAACCAACTTTTATAAACAAACGCTGTCGCACAATAATCGACCTCACACTTGCAACACAAGGAGCAGCTAAACTAATTACGGGATGGCATGTATCGAGAGAAGCCTCATGCTCAGATCATAGATGGATCTGTTTCACACTACAGGTCGATATCCCCGCTACACCACCATGGAGAAATCCCCGCAAGACGGATAAAAAAAAATACCTTAATAGGTTGACGTCTTTGCTCGTGGGTTTTGAGGGGACAAATACTATAGCGGATCAATCGCTCCTAGAAGAACAGGTAGTAGCTCTTACTAAAGCCATGATAGATAGCTACCATGAATCATGTCCAGAAATCACTCCACCAAGGCATGCTGAGGTAAAGCAACCGTGGTGGGGTAAAGAACTAGATAGAAAACGTAAGAAGGTAAGGAAAGCCCTAAATAGGGCCATGAATACCTCAATGGATGAAGACTCTCTACTATACAAGAAAGCTAAGTCCGAATACAAAAAATGTATCAGGTATCTACGCTCGACAGGGTGGCGTAAATTCTGTGGCAACATAGAAACCTGCGAACAAGCGAATAGGATAAGGAATATTCTAGCTAATATAATATATTTCATCTCTCTAAAGAAACGCGACGGTAGTCACACAACATCGCCGGATGAAGCCCAACGCATCCTAATTAAAACGCACTTCCCAGACTGCTGCGTAACTCAAGAGGCAAACCGGCATGACGACATACTGACACCAACAGCAAAAGACTGGAATTTAGCACAGAGAGTGGTAACGATGGACAAAATCCATTGGGCCATTCACAGTTTCCTCCCATATAAGGCGGCAGGACCAGACGGCATATTCCCGGCACTCCTACAGTGGGGGGTAAAGCCCTAATATTCACACTTGTTGCCATAATGAGAGCCAGTCTGGCTCTTAATTATGTTCCTAGGGGATGGAGGGAAGTGAAAGTCACATTCATACCAAAACCAGGTAAGAGCGACTACACAGACCCTAAATCCTATAGGCCCATTAGCCTCACATCCTTTCTCAGTATAAAGAAACCAAAGATGACCATTTGTCATTCAAGCTCTACGCATAAATTACACGCAACATATTTGAATAGTTTTGTCTTTGTGACTTATTTGAAAATAAATTAGAAAAAGCGAGAAAAGAATATGGACTTTGAGTCCATAGTCCGCACATAGAATTATAGATTCCCTCTATGCATATATATTTATGTAATTTCTCTAAGATTAAGATGGCAGTATTATGCTGTTATCGACTAACTCTTTGAGTTTCGGTGGGAACTTGTCCAGTGGCGGATTGCTGCTCTAGTATTATTGTTTAAATAATGGTTTGAAGTGAATTTTGATATGTAAAAGTGGTGCGATTTTGTATATTAAATGTCTGCGCATGCAAACAATTAGTGGAAACTGTGAAACAAGTGCTCCGATGGTGATGTGAATCTCATGATAAAGTGTCTGTCTGCTTAGGCGCCTTGAGATACCATCGCCAACCATCAGCTGTCTGCTGGTTCAAGTTGCCGTCAAAATCTCCCAAGGGCTGCACAATGTAACTTCAGGCTCAGAAGGGCTAGATCCCAGAGCCGTAAAGCCGTTTATTAAGAAAGAAAGCTGTCAAGCTGTCAAGTAATCTCACTCTAAGTGTCAACTGTCAATGATCATTGTGTTATTATTACAGCGCAGTTTTGTTCAATTTACGTATACGATTGGATGGATTTGAAATCGCAGTGATGACAAAATGTTTACGGTTCTAGGACGTCGTATTAGTTTTATATCATTTCTGTGTTTTTATAGTTTTATTTCGTGCGCTATTTCTTTAGACCAATATGAAACGTCGGGAAAAACATTATACGTGGCAGAAGAACCATTTCAGAGTTCTGGAAAATTAACTATAATAAATAAATTTAATACAGAAGAGCATGGTACACGTATCGAAAGGAAAAAACGCGATGCGTCGACGACCTTAACGACGCCGGCACCACAGAAAAATATAAGTACATGGGTAATGTTTTGTTTCCTTATTAACTATACACAATCGTTCCCCCTTTTGTTATTTCGATTTTTGTTGTCTTCTGACCGCCCATATCAGTGATTTATTTTGATTTAAACGATATTTACGCAAGTATGTTTTATTCACTTTGGTCTATTTTTAATTTAAGATGATCACGCATTAAATGAAAGTATATGACACAAAGAAGCTTGTTTACAGTAACGTCAACACTTTTTCGGTACATTACCAGATTTATTTATTTCAAAAATATTTTGTCAACCAGAATATATTTTATTAATTTTAATTTTTGAAGTGTCATTGATCAACTTAGATAAAATATTTTTCAACTTTCGTTATAAGAGACAAAGAGCTTATCGAATCTATTTAATTGTTTACACTTGTTTGTTTTAGACAACACAACTCAACGATGGTCATCAGCAATTGATGGTGCATTGGGTAGGTGAAGGATCAAAGGTCATAATTTGCTTGGCAAGAGACTCTAGTCCTAGGGGCAAAGAAACCCTATCACCATCAGCTCTTTTCATTTCTTATGACTATGGAAGAACCTTTGTTAACAGAACTGAAAGCTTTAGGTTGGATGATACCCCTGACAGTGGATATGCTCAACTTGATAAATTCTTCAACCATCCAAAACATCCCGAGTTTGTAAGTATTGTATTACCCTCAATAAATAATAAATTAAAAATTCTTCACATAGTAGTACAGTATAAAAGATAATAAATCTAATTTAATGTAAGCAGGTAGCTTGATCTTGACAAGTTGACAATAAAGTCCAACCTCTCTGCTTTGTATACGAGGTGTTCAACATATTTTAAACCTTAAAACCTTACCTTCAAACAGCTGACATAGGCTAGAGCTATTTAGGATACTAAATGTTAAAATTTTTATTCTTTATGTAATTTTTCTTTTTTGTGATAGTTGTGTGAACATTATAAACCATAAAGGAATACAAGTGAAATCTATAACAGATGTTTTTTATTCAATTTTTATTTTAGTTACTCAAACAGAGTAACATTTTTCTTTTTGTAATTAGTATTTTTCGTTTTCTTTAGTAAATAATAATACAAGAAAACAGAAAATTACCACTTTTCTTGTTCAAAATATTCACGGGTGTTTATTCTACTTGGCTAGTCTAGCTAAAAACAGAAATGTAAAACTAGCAGCAATTGTTATAGGAAGAAAAAATTAAACATTGTTCCTAAGAGAATGGAACAAATTTTATTTATATGATGCCATAGATGCTGCTGATCATGTAATCCCATGTCTTAAAACCAGCATTGGGCCAATATTAAATTTTTCGGGCAACAACTCAGTAGCAGCGCAATGTCATATAGTTTGCAGTGTTCCACCCGTCCCTTGGAAAGCTCGTTAAGATGTCAATCTGTGCCTAATCTATCTCTGATTGTATTGGATTGCCATCCCATCAGACTATAACCACTCACACGTCCGGGCGACCATAGTCACCTAAAACTTTTTCCGGTTGAACGTTAAGGCGACTAGAGCGGCTTCGCTGACTTCTACACTTTAAACGGCTTTTTGTCTATTGAAAGTTACAAAAATCTTCATGAATGTTACACTTAACGGCTCTATATTAAAAAACGCGTCTATTGGTTAGTAAAAAATTTATGCCAAGTATAAGATACCATTGAAAAAAATCAAAAAAAAAAAAAAAACAAGCATTGTGCCAAGTTTTGTCGGTAGTACTGTGACTACTGTATTTAAAATGTAAGTAATATTGTGTTTATTATAGTTTTGTACTGGTATTTTATATGAAAATAATCCCTAAGATGCTTTCTCTTTGTATATTTACAAGTTTTATAAATCCAAAGTCTGTAATGATGTTTTTATATGTGATTAATTCGATATGCGAAAATTTCGCCTTTGTATGTCGTTGTTTTTCATTAAGTTTTTGTATTATATATCATTTATTTTAATGAAATATAATTAACTAACATAATTAAATTCTGCATTTCATTAGCTTTCTGTGAGTTATTTTTATTCTGATAGAGGTAAAGAACTTTCTCCGTGGTTAACGGTTTTGGTTGACCTGGTCGCGATCGTACCATATAAAATTCGCCGGGACGTTCAAGGCTATTGTCGCCGCGTCGTCCGGACGTTTGAGTGGCTAAGAGTGAGGGAATAGAGAGTACATCTGTGATAGTGCACATAATTGTGCACTATAATCCTGTCCTGTGCAGATAGACAGTTTTCGTTCACTGGCTGCTGTGACCAAAATTTGGTCTTGAAGACAATATGTTTTTAATTTAACCTTGTAGTTACTATTACTGTAAAGATTCATTGTATAATAAAATTGGATGCAAATTTTTGTTATTTCTTTTTTAAGTGTGTTTTTGTGGATTCAACAAACAAACGTTTATATTATACGGATGACAATGGCCAAAATATACACAGATCGGATCTTAATTTTCAACCCAGTGAGCTGGCTTTTGATGAAGAAAACCCCAAAAAATTTGTTGTTTTGGACAAAATTGGACGTAACAGAATGGTTTGTACCTATCTATATAAAATGTGATGAATATAATTAATTATAAATCATAATATTTACATAATACAAAGCTGAAGATTGACTTTAAATATTAATTTCAAATTTATTCATTGTGAGATTGATAAGGGCATTAGAAGTAATTAGTGCGATATCTATATGAACCATACTATGTTATTGCTAACTTTAGCTTGTCAAATATTATGTCTTTTAAAATAGTGAATATGAAATAAAATATTTAACATCATTCTTTTTCTTGTATGTTGTGCACGTATTTTGTTGCTTATTAAAATTTTACCCTGAACATATATTGTTTTATAAATGTATAATTTTGGTTTTATTATATATTTTTTTGTAGCTCTACATGACTTTCAATGGAGGCAAAACATTCACGCTTATACAAAGCTATGTGAAAACTTTTTTCTGGTCATCAGGACCAGGATTTTCGAAAGTTTTTTATGTAGAACGCTGGGAACCCAACGGTAGCAGTACAGTGCTTAGCGTTAACGATCCAGAGAATATGACAAATGCAGAAGTACTGTTTTCAGAGGCAAGAGAATTCCAGATTAAAGGAGATTATATGTTCGCCACGAAGAAGAAAGATGTAAGTGATATATTTCTTTACAGAAATGCACTATTTTAATAGTGATGAGTTGATGAGTGATGATGTACATACTTTGTCAATTTTGGCAATTTCTAAGATGAAGTCTATTATGCCTCTTTTTTATGTTTAGAATTAGAAGGATGGAGGGCTATGATGATGATAATAATGATGATTTCTTTAAGCAATTTTGGTTATTTTTATATGGTCTTAGCATAAAAATTTACCACCTACAGAGACACCATTTTCAGAGAACCCGTAAGAAACTCTAGGGTCATCTTTTCTATGAATTAGATATTAAGTGGATTAAATTTTAAACTTAAAATGTCATCAACATAAACATAAATTATTGGTATTGCAATACAGGGTGTACATTGTACGTAATGCCTGCTGATCAAAATGTCTATCTAATGTAAATGTCTAAAATAAACAATGTCTAGTGACCGAATTATGGCGGAATATCCATCTGATGATGTCAAACCCAAATTCCACAAACTTTTGATAGGGTATCACAAATAGGGTATCAAAAATCCTTATCCACATATATATCCACCCTTTTCAAGTTTTATATGCAATATCGAGGAATGTAGCAAATTTTATTTTACATAAATGAAAAAATGTTCACACATTCCTATAGCTATTGTGGCTTACGTCTTTTTTATCATAGAATGCAGCTTACATCTTTTTATCTTTGAATAGCTTGCATTAAGTTATTAATGGATCTGTTTTTTTTATAAAACCTATTATTGAATATGACCTGTAAAAAAAAAAGACAAAGAAAGATGATATCTGCTAAGTTTCTTTGGCCGTGTTTTCTGATATGAGAAACCTCTTTCTAAAATGGTTTAAACTAAAATAAAGAAGTTGTACAAACCTAGTGAATGCACGTAAAGAAATCCTTGCATTGAATAAAAGTAAAGCTGTAACTCTTGTGTGAATGTGTGATAGGATCAGAGGTACCCTCAGATGCACTATCTGACATATAAAGGCAATCAAAATATATCTGAATTGTGATTTTGTGCATGCGTACATTTGTGTGATTTAATTGATTTTTGGATGAACCCCATTGTCAGTATTTAGGTGTTTTCAGATATAAGTAAAAATGCTGTTCTTAATGACAGTGAGTATTTTATTCATAGGTCTTGTGTTACAGGGTCAGTCAAAGGAATTTTACCTAGTTTCTGTCTGGTATTCGATTTAAACTATACCTATGGACAATTTAATTTGAAGTTACTACTTTTTACCTTTTACACACTTTCTGGGATTTTACAACAAAATCCCAGGAACTCTAGAAAGTTTATCTGTTTAAAAAAATTACTCAACAACAATTGTATAAAATGATTTATTAACTCTGGGAATAAGGTGATATCATTATGAAATAATTTCCGATATGATATATAATTTATTCTAATGCAGTACATTCAATTAAAACCAGTTTTTTAAATATCCCACTGTGTTTCTAGTTGGTTCTTCTCAGGGCAGGAATTTTTTAAACCAGTAGCAAACTAGCCTTAAAATGACTTTCAATAAGTATTAATTATACTCTAAACCATGTAGTGGCAGTGTAAGAATATTCACTACCCCGTATCGTCCCATGGGTGTCTATGAGGCAACATAGGGAAACAATTCAGGAGACTAGCAGCAGCGTTTTCCTTTTTTTTTGTAGGATAAGGGTGACAAACCAGCACACAGTCTACTTGATGGTAAGTGGTTGCTGTGGCCCATAGACATCTACATCTATCCTCTGATGGACTAAGATGAGTGAGGACTAAGATGGAGTGCCTCGTTTTTAGTAAAAAGGGTCTCCGGTTTTCTATACTCCCCATACGAAACAGCAGCGTTAAGCTGCTATTTTACGCTGGTATTCTGTGAGAGCGTGGGTCCTTCACCGGTCGAGCCGACCCATTCGTGCTACAACTATACCAGTAATATAGCTGCAACATTGCTCTACCACGTGAATAAAATTATAAAATAATCCTTATAATGACTGAAAAAATTTGGCAAACAATCCATATGAGACAATCTAAGGGGGAGGCCTATGTTCAGCAGTGGACTTTAGTAGGCTGTAATGTTAAACGGTTATATGTATTTAACTAAGAAACCTATTTCTATTTCTATTGCAATGAATGGAAGTATCAGATTTATTTATTTGTGTGATATTGATGTATAGAACACACTAAACAATTTGTAATATAAGTCACTACAGAATTGACCGGGCATTTATAAAAGAACACTCTAGACGCCAAATGTAGAGCAATTTCGCTCCGTATTATTCACTTGATAAAGCACTTCCTCACTGCAAGTGGTTTCGGAAAGGACTATGCAACACAATCGTGTCTGTATGAATATGATAAGTCATTTTTTCTAGTCCATATCTTAGGTATAAATTTACGAAAAATGAATATAAAACTATAAAGTAAAACAGTTGCAAGCATTAAAATGAAAGAAAAAAGATAAGCAGTGTCTAAATTAACAATTTTTCTTTTAATTATTAGTTATGTGGAAAACATCGATATTTCATTTAAAATATAAGCTGCAGATTGTCAACACTATGTTACACTATAATATAAGGGTGCCTTTGTTATTTGATATTAATTTTGTAATAGTATCGAATGTATTTCTACAAACAAAGCCCACTCATTGTTTAAACTATGAAACCTCAAGTTAATGACTTACTGTGTATGAAACACTTATAATGTGCTTAAGTTGTATAATTGAATGCTATGTTTAGTCTACGGTCGAAGTATCGTGATACCTGAGATTTATTTAATGTAAACATTGTTATGTAAACAAAAGGCCTAAAAAAAGATACGTTCCAACTATATCCTATACCAGTAATATAAATACATGTATAATGTACTTATATTTGTTTGTAATCGCGTTCTCGGAAACGGCTCTAACGATTTCGATGAAATTTCCATTGTGGCGGTTTAAGGGGGCGAAAGATCGATTTAACTAGGTGTTATTTTTTCAAAAAACTGTTTTCTTCCTGTTTTTACGTATAAAGCAACAAGTTTGAGTTGATCGCAATATGATTGGTAATTTCGCCACAGGAAGGGAAGGAGCGTAGGGCTACTACGCTAGAGTGCACGAGTTCGAACCCTGCAATATGTTTAGGTTTTTAATTTTAATTTTTAATTTCTTTTAATTTCTTGTATTTTAATTCTAGCCCACACAGCAGCTGGGAAAATATAAATTATTATAAAGTAATAAAATGATTAATTTGTTTGCGGAGTTCGTATATTGTTAAGGCGCTATGCTTACTTTGGTCTAAGCTTTTGTTGAAATTACCGATGACAGTATTCTTACAGAATTGTTTTATTGATATACAACCAAACCTATTTAATCCTTTTTTGAATACTTAAAATATAAAAGAAAAAATATATGATAATTTGTAGCGAACTGGCTGGTTTGCCAGACACTGTTGTAATGATTTGAATGAACTGTTTTACTTTAAAAGTTTATCTAGGCAGATAGGTGTTATATCTAATAAAATTATATTTTTTTCAAACGCCGAATAAAGTTCAAGTAATACTATCTATAATTTATGCCAATAATACACACACTGATCTAATTTCAAAATAAGATTTCAAATATATAATTTTTCCTGTCATATTTAGTAACAACTTTCGGCTAATGTCGGTAGCTATAAAGATGTACATAAAAGTGCCATACGTCATACATGTGACAACAACCAGCGACAATTTCTCACCTTAACTAACTACCGGTATCCGATATATGTATTATACTGTTACGAACTTGGGGTTCGAGACAATTAAAAACTGCCGACTGAATTACCAAAATTGACACTTTAATTACACAACACTAATTACAATCAAAAATCACACTAATAATAAAACACAGTTCGCCGTTATTTCGCTTCGAAGTATTCTCTTGTATCGCCAATTCAATACTGCCCCGGTCGTGGTCTATACCGGTCTTATATAGGGCTACAGATAGTTTCCAGAACCTTCTACTGTAGCGACATCTAGAATGTTCGAGTACATATCGGTCCCGAAATTTCTGGAAGGATCTCGACTCTCCTAGTTCTGCTACTCGACACTAGAGGGCGCTAGTGTGACTAGTGTTGCCATGTACAATACATTAATAGTGGCGCGCAATACTTTCATTTACTCGACACTAGGGGGCGCTAGTGTAACTAGTGTTGCCATGTACAAGACATTAATAGTGGCGCGTAACACTGCCCCCTCCTAAGACATGCTCGTCCCGAGCATTATTGGCCCCATAATAACGCGCCAGTCGATCCACATGGACAATCTTAGGAGTACCTCTGGCACCTTTCTGTATCCGGTAGGTTACATCATTGATCCTTGTCACAATCCGGTACGGTCCGTCCCATTTAGCTTGAAGCTTAGGAGATTTCCCTTTGCTGCGAACTGGATTGTGTAACCACACTAGTGAACCTTCATCAAAGCCCTTGTTGTTCATTTTGCGGTCATACCGTGTTTTCATCTTCTCAGACGTTTGCTGGCCCGTCTGTCTGACGTGCTCATAAATGTCATTCATTTTGTTCCGCAAGTCATTTGCATAATCGGTTATACTGCGTGGGGCATCAGGTGGTATTCCGGTGATCAGGTCTGCAGGCAGCCGCAATTCTCTCCCAAAGTTTGCGAAAGCTGGTGTCACTGATGTACTTTCGTGAACAGCGCTTCGATATGACAACAAAAACGGTTGTATGTGCCTGTCCCAGTCTCGTTGCCGTTTTTCCACAACTTTTGCTAGGTACCTCTCCAATGTCTGATTAAATCTTTCTACCATTCCATCAGATTGTGGGTGGTAAGAAGTTGTTCGTGTTTTCTGAGTACCCATAACTCGGCAAGTTTCCTGGAATATTTGAGACTCAAAATTCCTTCCTTGATCGCTGTGAATCTCTAAAGGTACTCCAAAACGACAGAAGACTTCATGAACTAGTTTATCTGCAACTGTTGAAGCTTCTTGATTTGGAATGGCGAAGACTTCTGGCCACTTAGTGAAGTAATCCA